GGTCCCGGTGTTACCGGTGGCGGTTCCGGTGTTACCGGTGCGGTCCCGGTGTTACCGGTTGGGATCCCGGTGTTACCGGTGCGGTCCCGGTGTTACTGGTTGGGGTCCCGGTGTGACTGGTTGGGATCCCGGTGTTACCGGTTGCGGTCCCGGTGTTACCGGTGCGGTTCCGGTGTTACCGGTTGGGGTCCCGGTGTTACCGGTACGGTTCCGGTGTTACCGGTTGGGGTCCCGGTGTTACCGGTGCGGTTCCGGTGTTACCGGTTGGGGTCCCGGTGTGACCGGTTGCGGTCCCGGTGTTACCGGTTGCGGTCCCGGTGTGACCGGTGATGTCCCGGTGTTACCGGTTGGGATCCCGGTGTTACCGGTTGCGGTCCTGGTGTTACCGGTTGGGGTCCCGGTGTTACCGCGGTGTCCGCAGGTGCTGCTGCTGGAGGCCAGCGCTCGCCTCGGGGGGTGGCTGCAGAGCACCCGCGCTGCCGACGGGGCCGTGTTCGAGCATGGCCCGAGGGGGATCCGGCCCGGGGGGACGGCGGGAGCCGACACCTTGCACATGGTAACGGGGAACGGGGAGACCCAGGGTGGGTGCTGGGGTCCCTGGGTCTATGGGGGGGGGGGGTTCTCGGGTGGGTGATGGGGTCTGGGGGATGGTCCCGGCTGGGTGCTGGGCCCCTTGGTTTGTGATGGGGTCCGGGAGCGGGGGGTCCCCGTGTGGCATCCGGGGTGCCCCGGGGCAGGTCCGTGTCCGTCTCCCCCCCCGCCCCATCCCCGCAGGTCTCGGAGCTCGGCCTTGCCGGTGCGGTCCTGCCCGTGCCCGGGGACCACCCGGCCTCCCGGAACCGCTTCCTCTACGTGGCCGGGGCCCTGCACAAGCTGCCCTCGGGGCTGGGGTAGGTGCCTGCTGCTTCCTCCCTTTGCGGTGCCACCGCGGTGCCGCAGCCCTGATCCCCCCCCTCCCCGCCGTCCGCAGGGCGCTGCTGCGGCCGGTGCCGCCGTTCTCACGGGCGCTGCTCTGGAGCGGGCTCCGGGACCTCCTGGCGCCGGCCGGGACGGAGCCGGACGAGAGCATCCACGCGTTCGCTCGCCGCCGTTTCGGGCGGGAGGTGCGTGCGTGCCCGCCCCGGGGCGATAGCGGTTATCGCGACAGGGCAGGCGCGGGCGGGGGCCCCCCCGGCCTCACGGCAACGTGCGCCCGCAGGTGGCGGACATCGCGGTGGACAGCGTGTGCCGGGGGGTGTTCGCCGGGGACTGCCGGGCGCTGAGCGTCCGCTCCTGCTTCCCGCTGCTCTTCCAGGCCGAGCGGAGCCGGCGCTCGGTGCTGCTGGGGCTGGCGCTGGGCTCCGCTGAGCGCGGCGGGGGGGACACGCACGGCAGCGGAGCCGAGTCGGGGTTGAGCCGGCGGGCGCGGGCCGAGCGCTGGAGCCAGTGGTCGCTGCGGGGAGGGATGGAGACGCTGCCCGAGGCGCTGGCGGAGTTCCTGCGGGAGCGCGGCGTGGAGCTGCGGTGCCACCAGCGCCTGCGACGCCTGAGCCGCCGCCACGATGGCCGCTGGGAGGTGCGGACCTGGGGGGGGCATCACTGCATTCCTCTATCCCTGGGCCCATGTCCTGCATCACTGCATCCCTGTGTGCCCATCCCTGCATCCCCATCCGTGTTCCCCATCACTGCATCCCTGAGTACCCATCACCACGTCCCCATCCCTGCACCCCCATCCGTGTCCCCCATCATTACATCCCCGAGTACCCGTCACTACATCCCTGTGTGCCCATCCCTGCATCCCCATCCGTGTTCCCCATCACCGCATCCCTGTGTGCCCATCCCTGCATCCCCAACCGTGTTCCCCATCACTGCATCCCTGAGTACCCATCACCACGTCCCCATCCCTGCATCCCCATCCGTGTCCCCCATCATTACATCTCCGAGTACCCGTCACTACATCCCTGTGTGCCCATCCCTGCATCCTCATCCGTGTTCCCCATCACCGTGTCCCTGAGTACCCATCACTGTGTCCCCATCCCTGCATCCCCATCCATGTCCCCCATCACTGCATACCCAAGTACCCGTCACTACATCCCTGTGTCCCGATCCCTGCATCCCCATCTGTGTTCCCCATCACCACATCCCTGAGTACCCATCACCACATCCCCCATCACTGTGTCTCCCATCACGACCCCCCGTGTCCCCATCCCTGCATCCTCATCCGTGTCCCCCATCACTGCATCCCCGAGTACCCGTCACTACATCCCTGTGTCCCCATCCATGTCCCCCATCACTGCATCCCCAAGTACCCGTCACTACATCCCTGTGTCCCCATCCCTGCATCCCCATCTGTGTTCTCCATCACCACATCCCCGAGTACCCATCCCCACATCCCCCATCACTGTGTCTTCCATCACAACCCCCCGTGTCACCATCCCTGCTTCCTCATCTGTGTCCCCCATCACCACATCCCTGTGTCCCCATCCCTGCATCCCTGAGTACCCATCACCACATCCCCCATCACTGTGTCTCCCATCACCACATCCCTGTCCCCATGTCCCCCAGCCTCGTGTCCCTGCATCCCCATCCCCTTGTCTTTGTGTCTCTTATCACCACATCCCCCATCACTGTGTCCCCATCCCTGCATCCTCATCCTTGTCCCCCATCATCATATCCCTGTGTACCCATCCCTGCATCCTCATCCTTGTCCCCCATCACTGCATCCCTGAGTACCCATCACCACATCCCCCGTCACTGTGCCCCCCATTCCTGCTCCCGTCACCACAACCCCGTCCCCATGTCCCCCCAACCTCGTAGCCCTGCATCCCCATCCCCATGTCTTCGTTTCTCCTATCACCACATTCCCCCATCTCCACATCCCTGTGTCCCCATCCCTGCATCCTCATCCGTGTCCCCCGTCACTGCATCCCTGAGTACCCATCACCACATCCCCCGTCACTGCATTCCCGTGTCTCCCATCACCATATCCCTGTCTCCATGTCCCCCAACCCCATGTCTTCGTGTCCCCCATCACCATCCTCCTTGCCCACAGCTCACCCTGGCCGATGGCACCGTCACAGCCGACCACGTTGTCAGCGCCGTCCCGGCTGCAGGTGGATGTCGGCTGCCGGTGCTGCCACCTCCGGATGCCACCGGGATGGGGAGGGGGCACCTTTACCTGCGGCCCCATCCTCACTCATATCCCCCCTCCCTGTCCCCAGCGCTGGCTGAGGCGCTGCCGGCCGAGGCCGCGGCGCTGGCGCAGGAGCTGCGGCGCATCCCGGCGGTGTCGGTGGCTGTGGTGAACCTGCAGTACGAGGGCGTCGCGCTGCCCGTCACGGTGAGAGCAGCAGCACCCAAGGGTGACCCCGGGGGTGTTGCCAGCACCCAGGGGTGACCCCAGCCCGCTCCTGCCCAGGGTTTCGGGCACTTGGTGCCCTCCTCAGAGGATGGCTCCCTCCTGGGCATCGTCTACGACTCGGTGGCCTTCCCTGAACACAACGGCGCGGCCACGGCCTCGCTGCGGCTCACGGTGAGCACCGGGGCCGGGATTGGGCTGTACCCTGCTACCAATCCCTGGAAACACTCACGGTGCCAATAGGTGATGCTGGGAGGCGCCTGGTTCGAGCAGAGCTTCGGGGACCCGGCCACGGCCGCACCGGAGCTGCTGCTGCACCGGGCACAGGCGGCCGTGAGGGAGCAGCTGGGGCTGGAGCCGGCCCCGACCCGCTCCATCGTCAGGGTGCACCAGGTGGGTGCCAGCACCCATGGGTGGGGAGGCATGGGGGGGGTCCCATGGGACTCACTGACTGTTCCCCCCCGCCTCCGCCCAGGCCTGCATCCCGCAGTACACACTGGGCCACTGGCAGCGCACAGGTAAGTGGGTGCTGAGGAGCTGGGGGGGGGGGAAGGCACCCAATGCCCCCTCCCCTAGCACCCAGCACCCATCCTAACCCCACAGAGCGCATCGGCCGCTTCCTGGCCGAGCACCGGCTGCCCCTGAGCCTCATCGGAGCCTCCTACAGCGGCGTCTCCGTCAACGACTGCATCGCCAGCGCCAAGGCGGCCGTGGAGCGGCTGCTGGGGCCGCAGCACTGAGCCCCCCCCCCAGCACCCACGGCCATAGGACAAAGTGTATTTTTTAATTGAAAAACCCTTATAAAGGTCCAGGGAGCGGCTCATAAATAGAATAAATAACGTGGGGCCAGGCCCCGGCCCCGGCAGCTCCCAATGGAGCTTTCCAGGTCCTTCCTGGTGCTCAGAGTCCAATGGGGGCCAGGGTTAGGGGGTGCCCTGCGCCAGGCTCCCGTTGTCCCCACGGGCCATTGCCATGCCCTCATCCTGCCCCACCACGGCGGTGCCACTGTCCCCAGCACCCTTAGGGCTGCGTTGGGTGATGCCCAAGGCCGGTTGGGTGCCGTTGGGTGGCGGTGGCCGGTGTGGGGTCAATACAAGCCCTCGGTCCCCCCAGGCTACGGGGTCCCGGGGGGGTTTGAGCAGCATCTCCTCACGGAAGAGGCTGGTGCTGCTCCGGTGCCGCTGGCCCTCGTGGCCGGGGGCCGGGGCGCGGCGGGCGGCGCGCGGGTCCGTGCCGATGTCCACGGTGAGGTTGGTGTAGAGCGGGTGGAGGTGCTTGGCCAGCAGCACGTAGCTCAGCGAGTTCATCCCATCCTGCGTCCACATCCGCTGCGTGCGGATCAAGAGGTCGAACCTGGACCAAAGGAGGAGGGAACAGGGAACGTCACCACCGGGGTCGGGCCCCAAAGCGGCGCCACCGAACCCCAAAGGGTGCCCCACAACCTGTGGGGGTTCTCCTCGTTGCCTTTGTCGCTCTTGTGCTTCACCATCTTGTAGTGGCCGATGGAGACGGGCGGGCGGGCGATCTTCATCCCGGCCAGGCGCACCCTGCAATGGGGTGCTGCGGTGTCACCGGGGGGGGGGGGGGTAAGTGATGGGATGGGGACACCCCTGTCACCTCCCGGGTCCTACCTGGTGGCGATGTCGTCGTCCTCTCCGCCCCAGCCCCAGTACTCGTTGGGGAAGCCATTGATCTTCATGTATTGGTCCGGGGTGAGCGCTGAGACCCCCCCAAAGTACTGGGGGTAAGGCAGGCTGTGGTGGTAGTTGGGGGGGGGGGGAAACACGGTGTTGAGCCACGGCTCCCGGTGTCCCCCCGTGTCCCTTCCACCTCCATCACCCACCTGTATCCGAACTTGTTCATGGCCACGGAAACATGTTTGGGGTTCCAAGGGTCGCACGTGTAGAGGTTGTGATCGTTCTCCGGGATCAGATCCACGTCGTGCAGGAAGAGGCAGTCCCATTCCTCATCCTTCAACGCCTCCTTCACCCCCACGTTCAGCAGCTTCGCTCGGTTGAACGTGGAGTTACCGGCCTGCGGTGAGGCAACGGGGTCGGTAACGGGGCCGGTAACGGCGGTGTGGGGCCGCTGTGCCCCCCCCACACCCCCTCAAACCTTACCTGGTGCACCACGTAGATGCCGTACTGGAGCTGCTGGCGCTGCAGGAAGGGGTGCAGGTAGTAGAGGAGGTGGCCCAGGTGGGTCTCGCGGTTGCGGTGCGGGATGATGACGGCCGTGCGGGACCGGGGCTCGCAGCCGGGGGGTTGATAGCGGCCGCCCTCCCGCACCGCCGGGTTCTTGGCCTGGATCTGCTCCAACGTCGGCACCCGGCTGAAGGTCACCGTCAGCGGCCCCACTGCAACGAGAGGGGGGGGCAGAGGAAAAGGGAGGGTTGAGGGCGGGGGAAGCCCCGGGGCCGTTCCCACAGCCCCGAACCACGGGAGCGGCCCCAGTGCAGCCGGATGGGCCGGTTCTGCCGGTTCCTTCCCCGCGGAACCGGTTCTTCCTCTCCAGGAGGGGGAGGTTCTTCCCCGCGGGGCCATTTCTTCCCCTTCCAGCCCGGTTCTCCGGCCGGGGGGGTGCCCGTTCTGCCCCCGTTGGGGCCGGTTCTCCCCCTGGGTGCCCGGTTCTTCCCCCGTTGAGGCCGGTTCTCTCCCCGTAGGGCCCCTTCTGCCCCCGTTGGGGCCGGTTCTCCCCCTGGGTGCCCGGTTCTTTCCCCCTTGGGGCCGGTTCTCTCCCCGTATGGCCCGTTCTGCCCCCGGAAGGGCCGGTTCTCCCCCTGGGCACCCGGTTCTTAACCCATTGGGGCCGGTTCTCCCCCTGGGCACCCGGTTCTTAACCCATTGGGGCCCGTTCTCCCCCTGGGCACCCGGTTCTTAACCCATTGGGGCCGGTTCTTCCCCCGTTGAGGCCGGTTCTCCCCCTGGGTGCCCGGTTCTTAACCCACTGGGGCCGGTTCTTCCCCTGTTGGGGCCGCTTCTCTTGCTGGGGCCCTTCTCTTCCTCCCACAGACACCGGTTCTGCCCCGGCCTTAGGCCCCGTTTCTCCCCGCTGGGTGCTTCCCCCCCCTCCGTTGCTCACCGAGGAAGGGCGAGCGCTCGGGGCAGAAGGGCAGCGGCCGCGCGGGGTCGGGCCGGGCGGGCTCCCTGGGCAGGAGCCGGCTGAGGTTCGCGTAGACATCGTGCGTGCGGGAGTAGTCGAAGACGGGCCCCGCGGCGCGGCCGAAGAGGGACGTGAGGCTGCGGAACCCGCCCAGCGAGAAGTAAGCGACGAAGGCGAACTGGCAGCCGACGAGCAGCGCCAGCGAGCGCGGCCGCTCCAGCAGCCGCCGGAGCATGGCGGCGGGGGCCGCGTCACCGAGCGCCGGGCGGCATCGCGGGGGCGGCCGCGGCCCCACCGGGAAGCGGCGGAAGAGCCTCAGCCCCGCCGGGGCAGCGCCGCCATCTTGGGACGCACTGAGAGGGAGGGCGCAGAGCGCATGCGCGAAGGGGGCGGAGCCTCCGGGGAGGGGTCGCTCTTAAAGGGGCCGCTGTGGGAGGTGCCGGTGGGGCTCACCCGTGACCCAGCGGGGTCAAGGTGAGGGCAGGCTGAGGTCAAGGGAGGGTTAGGATGAGGTCAAGGAGGGGTGAGTGCGGGGTCAAGGTCGGGACATGGCCCCGCTGGGGCGGGAGGCTCCGGGCCGGCACCACCCGGCCCCTGGCCGTTGCCGAGCGCCCCGCGCTCCCGGTTGGAGCTGCCCATGGAGAACGCGGCCCCAGGAGCCCGGAGCGGACGCTGGTGCCGGGGCTGGGGGGGGCCCGGCCAGGCTGAGGCTGCGCGGGCAGCCCCGGGGTACGGGGGAGGCTGGGGGCGGCTCCGGCAGGCGGGCACTAGGACCCAGGGGCCCCGGAGACCACGGCAGGGGGCGTGTCCGCAGCAAGCTCCACCCCCGCGCGGTCTCCACGGCAACCTCGCACGCCACCGCCCTCCTTCCGCGTGTTGGCCACGCCCTTATTGGTGACGTCCCGGGGACGGCGCGCTCTGATTGGGCCCCCGGTGCCGCTTCCCCACCTCCAACTTCACCCTCGCTGCTGCCGGGAGAGCGACGGGGCCCGAACCCCGAATTCCCCCCGAATTCCTCCCCAAACCTCACAAATTCCTTCCAAATCTCCCGAATTCCCTCCAAATTCCCCTCAAATTCCTCCCAAATCTCCCCAAACATCCCAAATTCCCACTAATTCCCCACAAATTTCTCCTAAAACCTCAAAAATCGCCCCAAATTCCCCCCAAATGCCTCCAAACCTCCTCAATACACTGAAATTCCCTCCAGATCCCCCCAAAACCTTACAAATTCCCTCCAAATCTCCCAAATTCCCCCCAAACCCCTCAAATACCCCAAAATCTTCTCAAATACCCCCAAATCTCCTCAAATCTCCCCCAACATCCCAAATTCCCACTAATTCCCCACAAATTTCTCCTACACCTCAAAAATCCCCCAAATTCTCTCCAAATACCTCCAAACCTCCCAAATACACTGAAATCCCCACCAGATCCCCCCCAAAACCCCCAAAATTCCCTCCAAATCTTCCAAATTCCCCCCAAACCCCTCAAATACCCCCAAATCCCCTCAAATCTCCCCCAACATCCCAAATTCCCACTAATTCCCCACAAATTTCTCCTAAACCTCCAAAATCCCCCCAAATTCTCTCCAAATACCTCCAAACCTCCCAAATACACCGAAATTCCCTCCAGATCCCCCCCAAAACCCTACAAATTCCCTCCAAATTCCCCTCAAATCCCCCCAAATCTCCCCCAACATCCCAAATTCCCACTAATTCCCCACAAATTTCTCCTAAAACTTCAAAATCCCCCCAAATCCTCCCGAATTCTCCCCAAATACCTCCAAACCTCCCAAATACACTGAAATCCCCTCCAGATCCCCCCCAAACCCCCCAAATTCCCTCCAAATCTTCCAAATCCCCCTCAAATGCCACCAAATCTCCTCAAATCTCCCCCAACATCCCAAATTCCCACTAATTCCCCACAAATTTCTCCTAAACCTCAAAAATCCCCCCAAATCCTCCCAAATTCTCCCCAAATACCCCCCAAATCCACCCCAATTCCCTCGTCTCCCCCAAATCCCCCCAAATCCCCCCTAAAGCCTCCCAAATCCCCCCCAGATCCCCCCAAGGATCCCAATCCCTGCTCCTGGCATGGTCGGTGCTCACACCCCACACTGTCCCCAAACAGGGTTCCGCTTCCCAGTGCCACCATCAACATCCCGGCCCCACAGAGGCCAGAGCAGGTGAATCCAAGGGGGCTCCAGTGGGTCAGGAGCTGCGTTCCATGGGGAATTGGGGGGCACCCAATAAAGTTCCCTCAGCACCGGGGTGCTGGTGCCTGTTCTGGGGTGCGGGGCACGATGCTCACAGTGCCCGCTGGGATCACCACAACCACACCGGCTCCATAAATAGCTTTAAATAAGAGGCTGGGGGGGGGGGTCCACAGGTGGGGGGCCCCGGGGCCTGCCCAGGGCTGAGGTAGAAGCGGTGATGGGCGCTGGGGCTCAGCGCGGAGGCTGCGGCCATCAGTAACCAAATGGTGCCAGCAGGATCAATCTCATCCCATCACTCTCCTGCGGCTACCGGTGGGGCCGGCGGCTCTTGAGGATCTCCAGGATTTGGGCTTTCTGCTTCTCCCAGGCCTCCGACGGGCGGCAGGGCACGAAGAAGCTGAACTTCAACCGCGGTGCTCTCCGTTCGTCCACCACCAGCGCCTGCAGCAGCACCGGCTGCGGCAGCGGCCCCCGGCCCTCCAGCGTCTCGGTGGCCGCGGTGGCCCCGCTGTAGCGCAGGGTTATCCCCTTGCCCAGCGCCACGTCGGTGGCCGATGGCACCAGGATGTAGCCACCGTTGAGCAGGGATTCACCATCGGGGCGCCGGAGGGCCAGGAAAACATCCTCGGCACCGGGAGCCGAAACCTGGCGCACCAGGATGTGCGTGGCACCCGCCGGGATGGTCACCACATCGTTGTAGCCGTAGCTGTGGGGTGGGTGCAGAGAGGTTGGACGGTGGCACCCATGGGTGCTCCCCGCCCCACCGGGCACTTACCGGGGTTTGGTGAAAGAACCGGAGATTTTGGTGCATCCGGAGCCGTCGCCGCCGCAGTTCATGCATTTATCGAACTTCTTCTTGGAGCCAATGATGCGGTCGCAGCCGGCGGGGATGCAGCGGCCCCGCACGCACACCCCGGTGCTCTCCGGTGAGCACGGCGTCCCATCGGCGACCTGCGGCACGGCACGGCCTCAGCGCCCTTCGCAAGTTGGGGGGGGGGGGGGGCCGTGCTAGGGTTATGGGGCAAGGGGGGATGGCAGCGCTCACCCTCTGCTGCAGCACATGGTAGTAGCCCAAGGTCTGGGACTGGCAGATGAGCTTGCACCGGTCCCGTTCGGCCACGCCGCTGTAACGAGGGACCCAGTCCCGCGGCGCCGGCAGCCCCCTGACGAGCTCCGGACCGCGGTTGTACTCGGCGCATTGCTCCTCCCGGAACGCCAGAGCTACCGGGGGGGGACGAGCGGAGGGGTCAGCGCCAGCCCCCGGTGCTTCCACCCCGGCCCCGTCCCTCCGCACACGGCGCTCACCGGAGCCGCCGGGACACTCCTCCACGCTGCAGGACTGGACACGGGTCCGTTTCCCCCGGCAGAAGCGGCCGCCGTGACGCGGCTCGGGCTCGGTGCAACCGCGGTGCGAGAGCCGAACGCCGCCGCCGCAGCTCCGGGAGCAGCCGCTCCACGGCCCCCACGGCCCCCAAGCGCCGTCCACCGGAGTCTGCACCGGGAAACGCAGCGGGAGCGGGGTCAAACGGGAGCCCCGGGGGGCGAGCGGCGGCCCCCGGTTCCCCGTCGTTTCTCCCCACACACTCACGGTGAGCTCCTGCATGCGGGTGATGCTGACACAGGCCCCGTCCATGCAGGCGCTGCCCGGCGCGCACGGTGTGCCGTCGGCCCAGGGGAAGTGCTTCGTTTGGCACACGGAGCGGCCGCCGGTGTGGCCGGTGCACCAGAGCCGGGCGCAGGGCGGCTGCTGGTCCCCGCAGTGCCGCGACTCGGGCCCGAAGGCGAGCTGGCATTGCCGCAGCAGCGGGTACACGCTGCCCGGCAGCGCCGACGGCAGCGGCAGCCACTCCGGAGGCTGGTCCAGGAGGCAGTGACCTGCGGGGAGCGGAGCACCGGTGATGCCGGGGAGCGCCGGATGGGACGTGGCAGCACCGGGGCTGCCCGGAGCCGGGTCTTACCGTGGCCGTTGTCCAGGAAGTCGGTGATGAAGCGGGCGCTGCACGGGGACCACATCTCGCCGGGCTCCAGCGAGGAGAGGACGGGAGCCATCACCCGCCGGGCGGCCGCGGTGCCGCCGTTCAGCTCCCGGCAGGGCTGCGCCGTGTCGTGCAGCATGTTGAAGACGTGGCCTGCGCCGGGGGACGGTGGCATCAGCCCCGAGCGGGTTTTGGGGTGCTCCGATGTCCCCCGTGTCCCCATCCCCACTCACCCAGCTCATGAGCGACGGTGAAGGCAGACTGCAGCCCATCGTCCTCCACCACGGCGCAGCTCCGCGCCGGGTCGCACACGGTGCCCACATCGGCCATGCCCAGCGTGGCACAAGTGGCAGCCCCACACAGGTCCTGGGGGGGCGGGGGGGGTAGGAGGGGGGTGAGCACCCCAAAACCAGCACCCAAACCCTTTGGGGGGCACCACCAGCACTCAGCAACCCCATGGGGACCCCAAGCAGCGCGGACCCCCCTAAACGTCCCCACCTGCCGGGTGAAGAGCAGGGCGGTGTCGAAGTGGAGGGGGCTGTCCTCGTCGGGGACATTGAGCCCCTGTTGCCACTGGCAGAAGTTCCGGAGCATCTCGGCAGCGTTGGAGGTCGGGGGGGGCCCGGGGGTGCCGGGGCCCAGCACCAGCAGCCGCGTTACCCGCAGCTCCACCGCGTTGCCGAGGCTGCCGTGGCGGAAGGAGCGGGCGGCCGCCGCCAGCACCGTGAGCAGGTACGGCCGCAGCCCCGCACCGTGGAACCGCGCCATCGCCTCGTCCGCCACCACGAGGAGCTCCACGAACCGCGGCACCGAGGCGAAGCGCTGGGAACGGGGGGACAGGGGGCTTGGAGGGGCCGGCTGGGGTACCCCGGCATCACCCACTGCATCCCAGTGACCCCCAGCATCACCCCACCGCATCCCAGTGACCTCCAGCCTCTCCCCACCGCATCCCGGTGACCCCCAGCATCACCCCGCCGCATCCCGGTGACCCCCAGCATCACCCCGCCGCATCCTGGTGACCCCCAGCATCACCCCACTGCATCCCGGTGACCCCCAGCATCACCCACCGCATCCCGGTGACCCCCAGCATCACCCCACCGCATCCCGGTGACCCCCAGCATCATCCCGTCGCATGGCAGAGCCCCGGGAGCCCGCGGGGGAAACCCTGGTCCAGCCCATCCCAGTTTAGTGTGTCCGGTCCTCCTCGTTCGTTCTGCCACCAGCTCGTTCTTGTCCCAGCCTATCCCAGCCCGGTTACATCCCCATCTATCCCAGCCCATCCTGATCCCTCCCATCCTGGTCCAGCCCAGCCCAGCCCGCTCCCATCGCTGTCCATCCCGATCCCGGTCCCGTGTGCCCCGGTCCATCCCAGCCTGTCCCATCCTGATCCCGGTCCATTCCGGACCCTGTCTCGTGTGTCCCGGCCCGGCCGTACCTTGGTTCTCCTCGGGGCCGGTCCCAGCCGGGTCTTTGTATCGGATTCTCCCGGTGCAGTGACGGGACACGAGGGACCGGGAGCAGCCCCAACAGCAGCGACGGCGACCAGGAGCGTCAGGAGCGCGCAGCGCATGGCCCGGGCACCGCGACACAGCGACAGCCCCGCGATAGCCCCGCGATAGCCCCGCGGCAAGCGGGTCCCGCCGCTTTTTAACGGGCGGGATGGGCTGGCCCGGGAGGGGCGGAGCTGAGCGGGGCGGCCCCGACCCCCCCCCCCCCCGGGCCGTTCGGGAAGGCAGGGCCGGGACATCCCCCCCCGGGACCCTCCGGGATCTCCCCTCACCGGGACCGGTCCCAGGGGAGGTGTTGGATGCCAGCAGGGGTTTCTACCCCTGCCTGTGCCCTTCATCCTTCATCCTTCATCCTCATCCTCCTCATTCCCTTCCTCCCCCCTGTCCCGCCATCCCTCCTCATCACCCTAATCCTTCCTCATCCTCCTCTTCCTCCTCATCCCTCCCTGTCTCCTGCATACCTGCCTGTGCTCCACATCCCTTCTCACCCCCCCCATCACCTTCATCCATTCTCATCTTCCTCATCCCCTTCATCCCTTCTCCTCCTCCTCCTCTTCTTCCTCATCCTCCTAATTCCTTTCATCCCTCCCTGTTCCCCTATCCCGCCTCATCTTCCTCATCACCTTCATCCCTTCTCATCCTCCTCATCCCTCCTCATCCTCCCATCCTTCCTCATCCCCCCATCCTTCCTCATCCCCCTCATTCCCTTCATCCCTTCCTGTCACTCATCCCTCCTCATCCTCCTCATCCCTCCTCATCCCTCCTCATCCCCCATCCTTCCTCATCCCCCTCATTCCCTTCATCCCTTCCTGTCCCTCATCCCTCCTCATCCTCTTCATCCCTCCTCATCCTCCCATCCTTCCTCATCCCCCTCATTCCCTTCATCCCTTCCTGTCCCTCATCCCTTCTCATCCTTCCTCATCCTCTCCCTTTTCCTCATCCCTCCCTGTCCCCTCCATTCCTGCCTGTGCTCCCATCCCTCCTCATCCTCTTCATCCCTCCTGGATCCCCCATGCCCCCCCCGCCCCGTGTCCGCCTTTCCCAGCAGGGCACCCGCTGTCTCACACCCGAGTCACCTCCTGGCCCCCCTCGGCAGGACACGGCCCGCATCCTGCTTCCTCCCTTCTGGGAAGGGGGGGGGGGGGGGGCGGGCCCGGGCCCGGGGCGGGGGGGGGGGGGCCGGGGCGCTGCCGGTGCCGTCGGTGCCGTCGCCGGGATCGGGGTGACGCGGCCCCGGACAAAGGCAGCCGGTGGCACCCGGTGCCGCCGCACAAAGAGCCTCTGTGCACCCATGGGACCCCAGCACCAACTGGGCTCCGGCATCTGCCTTAGCGGCCGCTGCCCTAGGACCTGCCACTGTCCCCAGCTCCAGCATCCCCAGTTCCAGCGTCCCCAGCTCCAGCATCCCCAGTTCCAGCGTCCCCAGTTCCAGCGTCCCCAGCTCCAGTGTCGCCAGCTCCAGCGTCCCCAGCTCCAGCATCCCCAGTTCCAGCATCCCCAGCTCCATCATCCCCAGTTCCAGTGTCCCCAGTTCCATCATCCCCAGTTCCAGCATCCCCAGTTCCAGCATCCCCAGTTCCAGTGTCCCCAGTTCCAGCGTCCCCAGCTCCAGCATCCCCAGTTCCATCATCCCCAGCTCCATCATCCCCAGTTCCAGTGTCCCCAGTTCCAGCATCCCCAGCTCCAGCTTCCCCAGTTCCAGCATCCCAGCTCCAGCATCCCCAGTTCCAGCATCCCAGTTCCAGCATCCCCAGCTCCAGTGTCCCCAGTTCCAGCATCCCCAGCTCCAGCTTCCCCAGTTCCAGCATCCCAGTTCCAGCATCCCCATCTCCAGCATCCCCAGTTCCAGTGTCCCCAGTTCCAGCATCCCCAGTTCCAGTGTCCCCAGTTCCATCATCCCCAGCTCCATCATCCCCAGTTCCAGTGTCCCCAGTTCCAGCATCCCCAGCTCCAGCTTCCCCAGTTCCAGCATCCCAGCTCCAGCATCCCCAGTTCCAGCATCCCAGTTCCAGCATCCCCAGCTCCAGTGTCCCCAGTTCCAGCATCCCCAGCTCCAGCTTCCCCAGTTCCAGCATCCCAGTTCCAGCATCCCCATCTCCAGCATCCCCAGTTCCAGCATCCCCATCTCCAGCGTCCCCAGTTCCAGCATCCCCAGCTCCAGCATCCCCAGTTCCAGCATCCCCAGTTCCAGCATCCCCATCTCCAGCGTCCCCAGTTCCAGCATCCCCAGCTCCAGCATCCCCAGCTCCAGCGTCCCCAGTTCCAGCACCCCCACCTCCAGTGTCCCCAGTTCCAGCATCCCCAGTTCCAGCTTCCCCAGTTCCAGCATCCCCATCTCCAGCATCCCCAGTTCCAGCATCCCCATCTCCACCATCCCCAGCTCCAGCATCCCCAGTTCCAGCATCCCCAGTTCCAGCATCCCCAGCTCCAGCGTCCCCAGTTCCAGCACCCCCACCTCCAGTGTCCCCAGTTCCAGCATCCCCAGTTCCAGCTTCCCCAGTTCCAGCATCCCCAGCTCCAGCATCCCCAGCTCCAGTGTCCCCAGCTCCAATATCTACAAGTTTCGGTATTCCCGGTTTCAGCATCCCCATAACCAATACCCCCAGTTTGAGGATCTCCAGCTCCAGCATCCCCATTAGCATTATCTCTGAGCTCCAGTATCCCCAGTTCCCGCATCCCCAGCTCCAGTACCTCCATTTCTAGTATCTCCCAGTCCCACTGTCTCCCACTTCTATCTCCCACTTTCAGTATCCCCAGCTCCAGCATCCCTAGTTCCAGCATCCCCAGCTCCAGCATCCGCAGTTCCACTACCTCCCACTTCCAGTATCTCCCACTTTCAGCACCCCCCTTCCCTGTATCCCTACTTCCATGTCCAGTATGTCCCAGTTTCAGCATCCCCAGCCCCTGTATCCCTACTTCCATCTCCAGTATGTTCCAGTTCCAACACCTCCAGCCCCTGTATCCCTACTTCCATCTCTAGGGTGTTCCAGTTCCAACATCCCCATCTCCAGCATCCCCAGTTCCAGTATCTCCCACTTCCAGCATCCCCAGTCCCTGTATCCCTACTTCCATCTCAAGTATGTTCCAGTCTCAGCATCCCTAGTCCCTGTATCCCTACTTCCATCTCCAGTATGTTCCAGTTCCAACATCCCCATCTCCAGTATGTTCCAGTTCCAACATCTCCAGCCCCTGTATCCCTACTTCCATCTCAAGTATGTTCCAGTCTCAGCATCCCTAGTCCCTGTATCCCTACTTCCATCTCCAGTATGTTCCAGTTCCACCATCCCCAGCTCCAGTATGTTTCAGTTCCACCATCCCCAGCCCCTGTATCCCTACTTCCATCTCCAGTATGTTCCAGTCTCAGCATCCCCAGTCCCTGTATCCCTACTTCCATCTCCAGTATGTTCCAGTTCCACCATCCCCAGCTCCAGTATGTTCCAGTTCCACCATCCCCAGCTCCAGCATCCCCAGTTCCACCATCCCCATCTCCAGTATGTTCCAGTTCCACCATCCCCATCTCCAGTATGTTCCAGTTCCACCATCCCCATCTCCAGTATGTTCCAGTTCCACCATCCCCAGCTCCAGTATGTTCCAGTTCCACCATCCCCATCTCCAGCATCCCCAGTTCCACCACCTATCTCCCGCTCCCAGCATCCCCGGTTTCATTACCCCCCGTTCCTGTATCCCTGCTCCCACCTCCCCTCTCTCCCCGTTCTCCCTCCCCAAAGCTCTCCCGGTGTCCCCCCCTTTCGGGGGTCGCGGGAACCGCTGACCCCCGAGGGAGAAGGGGGGGAAAACGGAGGGGGGAGACAACAGGGACCCAATGGGGACCCCAACAGCGGGGTTGGGGGTCCCGTGTGCCACCCGCATGGCGACACGGGGGGTGTCAGTGGGGGGGACAAGGGGGTGTCATTGGGGGACACAGGGGGTGTCATTGTGGGGGACACGGGGGGTGTCGTTGGACACACGGGGGGTGTCATTGGAGGGGGACACACGGGGGGTGTCAGTGGGGGGGACACACAGGGGGTGTCATTGGGGGACACACAGGGGGTGTCATTGGGGGGGACACACAGGGGGTGTCATTGTGGGGGACACGGGGGGTGTCGTTGGACACACGGGGGGTGTCATTGGGGGACACAGGGGGTGTCATTGTGGGGGACACGGGGGGTGTCGTTGGACACACGGGGGGTGTCATTGGGGGACACAGGGGGTGTCATTGTGGGGGACACGGGGGGTGTCGTTGGACACACGGGGGGTGTCATTGGAGGGGGACACACGGGGGGTGTCATTGGGGGGGACACACAGGGGGTGTCATTGGGGGGAACAGAGGGTATCTCATTGGGGGGGACACACAGGGGGTGTCATTGGGGGGAACACGGGGTGTCATTGGGGGGGACACAGGGGGGTGTCATTGGGGGACATAGGGGGTGTCATTGGGGGGGACACACAGGGGGTGTCATTGGGGGGGCACGGGGGGTGTCATTGGGGGGACACACAGGGGGTGTCATTGGGGTTCACACAGGGGGTGTCATTGGGGGGGCACAGGGGGGTCATTGGGGGGGGGACACACAGGGGGTGTCATTGGGGGGGACACAGGGGGTGTCATTGGGGGACACAGGGGGTGTCATTGGGGGGGACACGGGGGGTGTCATTGGGGGACACGGGGGGTGTCATTGAACACACGGGGGGTGTCGTGGGGGGGGACACGGGGGGTGTCATTGGGGGGACACGGGGGGGTGTCATTGGACACACGGGGGGTGTCGTGGGGGGGGGACACGGGGGGTGTAATTGGGGGGGACACGGGGGGTGTCAGTGGGGGGGAAACGGGGGGTGTCATTGGGGGACACACGGGGGGTGTCATTGGGGGGACACGGGGGGGTGTCATTGGACACACGGGGGGTGTCATTGGGGGACACGGGGGTGTAATTGGGGGGTCACACAGGGGGTGTAATTGGGGGGGACACACAGGGGGTGTCATTGGGGGGCACAGGGGGTGTCATTGGGGGAGACACAGGGGGTGTCATTGGGGGGGACACGGGGGGTGTCATTGGGGGACACACAGGGGGTGTCATTGGGGGGAACACACAGGGGGTGTCATTGGGGGGGGACACACAGGGGGTGTCATTGGGGGACACGGGGGGTGTCATTGGGGGGCACAGGGGGTTTCATTGGGGGGGACACAGGGGGTGTCATTGGGGGGGACACGGGGGGTGTCATTGGGGGACACAGGGGGCGTCATTGGGGGGGACACGGGGGGTGTCATTGGGGGACACGGGGGTG